GGATCAGAGATTTTAGCCCCCGAGATGTTTTCAGCGAAGGGTGTGTTTAGTGCCTTCTCCAGCACGTAAGCAACCCCAGGAGCCTTCCCCGTGCTCCGGTACATCTGTAGCTTGGTAGTCTTCAGGTCAGAGACGACCTGGTCCAACTATGCTTTTAGCGCAGCGACCTCTTCGTCGCGGGAACTTGGTGGAGCCCTGCGCTCATGCTCCCTCNTATAAAGTTCTGCTATGGTGGGAGCCCCTTCTCCATCAGCCGTAGTGCTGTCAGNAGCGTCCATTCGGACACGTCTNCGATGAGGAGGTTGATCGTCGTCCGATACCTCCATAGCACGTTCGGGGGTTCTATCGATGTCCCGACGCGGCGTCGGTGGTGGCAAGCCTTCCGGATCAGTGCGAGCGGTCCGAGGTGGCAACGCNTTGGGCCGCTCTCTCCGANCGGTCCAAGGCGTGTTGAAGAGGCGATGTGGGTTGATTCGGGACCTCTTGCGCTTACGTGAGAGCGATCGCAGCTCAGTCGCAGTTGCTTCATTGAACTTCTGTTGCTCCTGCGCTCCCTTGACGAGCGTCTCGAGCATCTGCTATATCTCCGTTATGTCCGCTGGGTTGTTATCGGCGTTAGGTGCAGGGTTTTCCACGGAGTTCTCATTCGCCTCGTCGTTCCTGTGAGACGAGGATCCTTCGCTGCTCCCGCTGTTGTTCCCAGACATCTTCTTAAATCTTTGTAGAAACTTAGCTTGTTGTGTCAAAAATTCTCTGAGTTCCCCTTAGACGGCGCCAAATTGTGGAGGCCAAAACCAACACAACTAGATTTGTTAGGGTTTCGTGAAGAGGTAGAGATTTCTAGGGTTAGCTAAGATCACCAAAGTATCAGAAGTTGTTTTTTATTGCTCTGTAGGTTTTTGTGAACTAGAGTGTCCATGCCTCCTCAAGGGCTTTTACATCAAGTATATATATTCTCTCTAAGGCGGCTAAGCCTCCTAAGTCTTCGCAGATCTCTTCCTTGCCAAGGTCGGTTGCATCAAAGTGGGCTTCGCGTCTGGACCGAGCTTTTGACTGTCTTTGCGTCATCGGGTCGTCTTCATGTTATTGCGCTGCTGGGCCGAGAATGTGGTCGGCCCGTTGAGGATCCGAAGACGCGGTCGGAACCTCGAGGGT